AGAAGCTATTAGGAACAAGTGCATCGCTTCTAGTAACAAGTGCCTTAGTAGTAACAAGAAGCTATTAGAAACAAGGGCATCGCTACTAGGAACAAGTGAAGAACGATGATCAAACATCATGATGATTATATAAACTGACGGTGTGGCACCCTCCAGAACAGTCCTGTTGCTGACAAGACTGGGGCATCCCTTCTTGAAGATCTTGAAGCATCAACAGCGGAGTTTGCCTTTGGCATCCTTTGGCGGATGCTGTACCAGCTTGGTGTAGTAGAGTGTCACAGGCGGAGGAAGAGTCTGACATCATCAACAAGCCCAAGGAGGAGTGTGATCACGATATTATCCTGGTGAGGGCAAAGATAGTTTGGACATTTTGGCTTTGCATTCTGCCATCATTTTGCCCTTGTCATACTGTATCTTTCTTGAAACCATGTGTTTTGCTGGGTGTGTGCAGGAGAGCAATGGAAAGAGCACCGTGCTGAAGTGCGGAATAGGTGGCGCTGGCTTGACGCCGCATGGTAAAGATTAGGATGGGAAGGACATGGAAAGAGACCGCAGGGAGTTGCCGGAATTGAGATTTGCGAGGTTCTCGGGTGAGGAAGTCCAGAGTCCAGCTTTGTGTCTTGTTTCGCCAGCAGGTTCTATGTCTTGGCAGTAGGACATGAGCCCCGACGCCCATGGTAGTACCGGACGCCGCTTCAAATCGGGTTGGTTGGAGCGATCACGCGCCGGACAGAAGGGGGGGGGCAGCAAGTCAAACGAGTTAGTAGAAGCACGTAGAAGAAGCAGTGTTGATAGATGATTTGCTGTCGAAATTCTGTGGAATGTTAAGCTGAGAAGAGTCGCTTATTGCATTTAGATTACCTCCATATTGCCAATGGCCCTGACGACTCAAGGCTCCGGGAGAGTCCGTCCGATGCCAACGCCAGCCCCGCAGGCGAGGCAACGCCCCCCGAATTCCGTTCGTGTCGTTCGGTGCTGCGACCGGTGAGCAGACCGGTGGTGTGTGTTTCGTTTGGGTTTGAACGGTTTGAGCAACCGTGCTTTGCTTCTTGTGGCCGTCATGAACACGTAGAACCATGATGGACCATGATGATCTATCAGCAAGAACCAGGATGCGCATGTTGCATTCCAGATGGTCTGACCAAAGAGAGGTCTCGAGAGACTGGTCTGTTCCAGCTCGCAGGTGACAGGTTCTCTACAGCCACTCGCTTGCAATCGGATGGTTTTGAGTCACACGCCAGGCACGCCTCAGAAAGTGGAATTCCATGGAATTCCTAATTACACAACCTAAAAGACCACGGGACGATTATTTGAAGGTTTAGGTCCTCAAACATGTTAAACATGTTTCGTCATGCTCCTGAAGAAAGACGCTGTTTCGCGGTGATCTAAAGGCAAAGGCCAAGCAAAAAGCAATGCAAACACTGAGCTTCATTCGCGTTCTTGATGATTGAGATCCTTAAACCACCGAATCTGACCACGGCACAAGGAACAGTGTGTATATGCGTGTGTGTGTGTGTATATGATTATATGGGAGTTATCCAAAAGGTCCTTGTAAGGGTTTTTAATGTCGAGAGCCTTGGATGACATGATCGTGTGTCTCGCGAACATGTTTTTTTCGAGTTCGCGAATGTTAATCTTTTTTCGCGAAAGATTCGCGAAAGTATGATTTTTCATTGTAAGTTTGCAGTTGTGGCTTCCAGTTCCTTTTTTTGGATTGAGAAGTAGCCCATCCTTTCCTGACCGTCAGCAGCTTCAAATTTGGAATCTGTGTGAAGCTTCCTTCCTGTTTCATGTAGTTCACCCTATGTTATGTATGCCGTAAAAACTTCCAAAGCACAGGGATTATTTCTTGAAAGTTTCGCGAAAGTCTGGCGAAGGTTTCGGCGAATGAACCGGCTCCAGAGGAACCCCGTAGCCCATAGCAATCCACAAACTTAAAGAAAAGCTTGTTTTTTCATTATGGTAGAACAGCGCACGAAGAAGCGATAGGCATCCTCGGCTTGAGCGGTAGCACTGCACCATGGATAGACATGTAGGAAAACATGTGCCAACGAAATTCTGCTCCAACACCAGTTTCCTGTCTGTAGCAACCCCCGCGAAAGAAAAACACAGGGTTCGCGAAAGTTTCGCGAATGTTAAGTTTTTTTTTTTTGCGAAGAATGGCCGTTTCAATAAACAATAATATTGGACAACCACCATATATATATATATATGTATATTATATATTGCATAATATACATATATATATAGTTTCATGGAGAGCTAACAGCCTAATTCTATAGGAACATCGATCCCTTTGACACATGTTGATTCTATCTTTAGTTATCGACACGCGGAGCCCTTTCAAGGCCAGCTGCAAGACTGCGGAGCCTTTGGAGAAACCCAAGCTAGCTGCTCCTGTAGGAGACGATGCTCTGAATCCATGCCCCGGTCGGTACGATATGGTACGATGCTTCGAAAGGCAAGAAAGGAGAAACGTGGAAGCATTAATTATGGCCGTGATTATTTGTTATTCTTGATTAGCAAGTTCTATACTTTGGATAGAGTGTCAAACATGTTGAAGCTGCCCATGCTGATATTGGCAAAAGACAAACTCTGAAGCTCAAGCTTGAGATGCACTGTTTGACGTTTTGGCAGACTTGGATATCAAAAACACACATGGTTTTACACATTCCACATGATTTAACCGAAGTTGCTGAAGGTCTCTGGGAGACTCTTAAAAGGGACTGGCCGTGCAGGAGCCTCGAGCCTCCTGGCACGGCGGCGCGCCAGTCTAAATCTGAAACCTTTGGGCGAGTGAGAGATGCTCCAGTTCAAGAGGAGAAGGAAGTCTCATGGGAGCAGCCTGGTCACTTGGGAATGTTTGAAGGAAGTCTCATGAACATGCACGAACACTCAATGAGACTTCGTTGAGACTTTGAGATGAACTATACCTGGCTTCTCAAACGAGTTCTAGTCCGCCCAGGATTCTATCACAATCTAAGTGTTACATGTTTGGCGGCCTTCTCTTCCACGTACAGGGCTTTCGGGGAGCTCTCTTCTCTTAGATTCGCACGGCAGCCATTGGAAGCACCATGGATGGGGGGGTTCCAAGGCGGCCGCTGGACCGGCTGCGATCTGTTTTGGACCAACCCACCAGGGCGATCCGCTCGGTGCATCCTTTCGTGTCAGCGCATCGACTGGCGTGAAGGACTCCCTGCGATGCAACCCCAAAAGCACTAATTAATGCTTTAAAGCTCACATGCATGCCTCAACTTCAGGTTGCACGATGTTGTGCGAGTGTATGAGGATGGCTGGTGGTCTGTCATTGAAGAGTTTGCAACAGCCTGCACGATCTGCAAAAGCAATTCTGCCACAGTTTGTTTTGAGCAACCAACTGCGCTCAAGTGGTGGAGGCAGCAGTTGACCTGCACTAGCAACCTGATGAACTGAAAGCCGCGTGGTCCGCATTGATTTCTTTGAGCATAACCGGTGGAAGCCATTTACATTTATTTTGCACACAGCCGGGAGGAAGCAGCCAGGAAGCTGTTGCTTCTGCCAGCTTTTGCAACAGGCACTGAGTCACAGCTGATAGCCGGCAGATTGAGACTGACATCAAAGACATTGTGAACAGGAAGTTGAGTAGTGCAAAAGTTTGATACCTCCAAAAACATGTAAATCTACTCATATCGGGAATGAAATCAATTAAATACAGCAAACATAATAAAGATGGGATGCATCATGGATTCCAGCAGTTTCTCCGCTTCAATGAGCTATGATTGCGGGGTGACCGATGCTTGCTGACAAATGAGGGCCTTCAGCATTTCAAGCCTGGGCCTGCTGTGAACTGTGCCAAGCGACGAAGCGGAGGCGGAGCATACCTGCACACCCACGCTTTGAGGGTTGGAAGCACCAGAACTGCCGATGGCAGTGTGTGCTTGCTGACGGATGTTTACTGCTTGCTTTAAGCCTTGTCGCAACTATAACTTGAGGGGACATGCCGGACATGCCATCACATGCTCCATGTCTAAGGCAGTTTGAGGACGCCTGCTTCGCTAGACCCCTTGTAGACTTCTCAGGGCAGGTTGGTGACCCTGGGTGCATGTGAGGTGCCTCATGCAGTGGAGCTTTCAAGGTTTTGTTTGTTGCTTGAACGGCAGGCAGGGATCGTGACACTTATGAGCTTTCAGCACTGGTTTTGTGCTTCTGTGTGAAGGGCATTGTACAGCGTGCAGTGTATGCCTTCATGTGCCTTCACAGGATACAACCACGAAGCGAACGGGATACAAGAGAGCAGGCTGCTGAGGGCTAGTGGCCACGAAGCGAGACATGCAGCTCGGACATTGAACTCCATGCGAAACTGCTCCCCCCCTCACTACTTAATATTGCAGGCGCCTACTTAATTAAGTAAGGGAGAAGTAGCTAGTACATACTGTAATACTGTACCTTACTTAAGCTACTAGTATGGACGCAGGATAGCTCACTCTTCTTCAAGGAAGCCCACCGCCGCCCTTTTCATTAGGTTTCTAGATTTTTGGGAAACTGGCTGTGCCCATTGAATGATATGGACAAACACCCACCTTGGGCAGCCTGCCTAATCAAGATGGAGCTGCTGTCAAAGACTTGACGAGCGCTGATCAAAAGTTGTAAAATTGGATAACGGATGATAGATAGAGGCAAGAACGTAATGATTTGTGGTCAATCCACACATCATTAGGCTGGCCAGCAAATTGTGAAAGTGCAGGGGTTCAACTGTTGAATCTTGCTTGACAATAGTGATCTCAAGCCTTTGTACTGTACACTTCTTTTTATACCTTGCGCTTCCATTGCTGGCATTTTCCCCGACACGTATCTAGGAGCTTGGCCAGGAGTGTTTTGCAATGTTTTGCCCACCACGCCAAAGCGGCGCAGAAGGGGGTGGCACTTGATGGCCTTTCTTGGCATTTCACGGTAGCTTGGGTGGCTCGCGAGTAGCAGTCCAGCTGTTGCATGGCGAGAAAAGTGTTCACTGCAAGCGACGAGCCCTTCAAAGTAACAAACAAGTCCTAGATATTAACACAACAATCAATATATATACTGACTATGTATATATATATATATTGGGTCTGTCCTATTACCTGTAACAGTCAGTAAACAATTATTGCTATTTTTGAACAAGGCCTTTAGTAACCATCGTCATCCACTGTTACAGGTAATAGGATAGACCCAATATATATATATATATATTTTTATGACTATATATATATAATTGTGCAGAACACTATTATTGTAGTAGGCATTTAGTTGTGTGTTGTCTCGCTTTTGCTGCGACCCAAGTGGTGTTTCAGGCAAATGTAGATCACGTTCAAGATCTTTCAACAGCGATGTGCCAATGCTGTTTGACACTTGAGCTGTTCGAATCTAGTGTATTCCATGTCATTATGCCATTTAGCATGCAGGAGCATGCTATCATCAAATACGAAAAGAGCACATTGGGATAGGTTCACCTTCAACTTCCACAGGGTTGCACACAATGACATAGGCATGTAAAGGGCACAAAGGTAGAAAAACGCGCTTTTGTATACATGTAACACAACCTATTAAAGGTAGAAAAGTTTCGTCGATGCCGTGATGCCCATTAATTGTATAGGCAATTATTTCACTGCTAGCGCCATACCTCCTCACGGGCTGCTTTTCGAGAAACTAAATCATAGGTGATGGCCAGCGCGTCCGCAGCGCGCCTGCAGCGCGTTCGCAGCGCGCTGGTCTCAACAAGATCTTTTTTTGAAGGACACAGCCAGTATTTTTACAGTCCGTTTTTGCAAAGCAGTCATAGTTTGATGGCATTGGTAAATGCGCGAGCGCGCTCGCAGCGCGCTGGGCTAAACAAGATACTATAGTAACGTATTGAAGGACACAGCCAATATTTGTTTATAGTCCGTTTTTGCAAAGCAATAGTTTGATGGCATTGCAATGGTGAATGCACGAGCGCGTCCCCTGCGCGTCCGCAGCGCGTCTGCAGCGCGTTCGCAGCGCGCTGGGCTGAACAAGGCTATGAAGCACGCCAGTAGTGTGTATAAAAGAACAGTCATATTTCAATTTGATGGCATTGGCGAGTGCACGAGCGCGTCCACAGCGCGTCCGCAGCGCGCTCGCAGCGTGTCCGCGCAGCGCGCTCGCAGCGCGCTCGCAGCGCGCTCGCAGCGCGTTCGCAGCGCGCTCGCAGCGCGCTCGTATGTATTCAAGGGACACAGCCAGTATATTTACAGTTTGTGCATACAAAGCATACTTTGATCGCATTGGTGAATGCACAAGCGCGTCCGCAGAGCGTTTGGACACGAAAATAATAGCGTAAACATGGTCTTTCCTTATTCGATGCAAATAGCGCAACCCAAAGCAGCCCACGCATAGAGCGCCGGAGCCAAGTCCATAACTTTACTTTTTCAAGGCTGGCCTTCAAGCGCTCCACCGACCCCCCCTCCTCTGCCTTCTTCGAAATTGCGTAAACATGGCCGGCTTAAGCCCAAACCCGCGTCTTTTAGCATCGAAATTGCGTAAACATGGCCCGCTTAAGGACCAAATTGCGTAGCCATGGCCCGCTTAAGCCCAAACCCGCGTCTTTTAGCGTCCAATTTGCGTAAACATGGCCCGCTTAAGGATCAAACCCGCGTCTTTTAGCATCGAAATTGCATAAACATGGAAACTAATTGCGTAAACATGGCCCGCTTAAGCCCAAACCCGCGTCTTTGAGCATCGAAATTGCGTAAACGTGGCCCGCTTAAGCCCAAACCCGCGTCTTTGAGCATCGAGATTGCGTAAACATGGCCGGCTTAAGCCCAAACCCGCGTCTTTTTAGCATCGAAATTGCGTAAACATGGCCCGCTTAAGGACCAAACC